CCGATTTCGGCTCCCAACAATCCATTTGGCTTTCCCCGCTCGGACGTTACAACAGTAAAGCCTATCAGGTGTGAGAAAGTGAGGGGACAGGACATCAGTCGATCATACTGGGAAGGGAGTAAAAATTATGTAGTAAACTCTTTTTGCCAATCGAGGTTGCTTAGCGAGATTGTATCTCTCCTTTACGGAAAAAGCAAACGTTTGCTTTAAACACAAACGTACACCAATGGAGTGAAAAAGTGGACCATATGCTCTTCTCAACGAAATGCTCATCAGTTCAGTCATAGTATTTTGATCCTCGATATCTGGTGTATCATTTAGATCTGTAGAAGCTAACTAGATTCAATGCCCATAAAGCATATAAAACGTGTTAGAAAATGTGAGACGCATGAATTCTGGACGTAATAACTAACTCATAGCAACTAAACTACTTACAACTACGACGATTGAAATATGGAAAAAATGATAAACAATGATATAAATGGTAAGGATACGACTCACTGGATCCGAACGTCTTTCTTCTGCAGTAGCCAGAAAGTTGACTTATATTCAAGAATCGCTGACCAAACGTGTGCTGGCCAAGTTCAGCCGTTCAAACCCGCGTAGATTACGTGTGGCTTGCATTTCAGAGACTGGCAGTTCTTCCCAAACCCGAGCGTGGTCACATACAGCGCCGTTAGTCAGGGTAAGTTTATAAGTGCAGGAAATGCGATATAACAGCAGAAGTCAGTCAGGCAAATGCCACGTGAATTTTGCTGGAAAGTGTTGTATTTCGACCAACTACTTTCACGAGTCTGAAACGTAATAAGCACATCACAACCGTGCCGTAAGGCAGATATTTTAATCTAACAGATATTTAGAACCTGCTTGTGAGTCAAGATCATCACGTACACCTTTTTGACTGTAAGATACAAAACTCTACGCGTTAGGCTTCCTGGTTAGAATATAAGGTGAATAAACGTTTTTTTAAATTTTATAAAAGTGCGAACTATTCTTGCTACTGTAGTCAAGCACTCGGTTCTAAAGATTTAACAGAAAAAATTGAATTTCGGCATGTAGGGAAATTGGCGGAACGGTTAGGGCACAGCTTTAGATTCCCCCGTTTTCTGGAGCACGGCCGGGGTTAAGAATGGTGCCCGAAGTGAGGTGGCTGACATATCCGGAGCGCTGTAAAGCACTGGACCTGTTCACCCTCGAATATTTGACGCTCCAGAGGCGACCAAATCATGATGTACAAAGTGATCGTTTGCGG